CACTGAGACACACCAGGCCGCGTGTGACCGGCCTCAAGCAGATGTCCCCTGGACTCTGCGGTCACGCAACACTAACCTTTCTTCCATTTCAGGTACCCGAAGACGAAACTCAGGCGTGAGGCCAGCAACCCCACCCTGTAAACAAACCTGCTACAGAAACTTCACCATGAGCAATCTCCTTGCGACAAAATACATAGATGCAGGTGTCAGAATACCAACTTCATCTATAGCTAAACATTTAATCGAGATGATGTTAACTCAGCCTTTAAGGTCATCTATAAAAACGGTCAAGGACGTTTACTGAAATACGCTGAGGCTATAGCCATTCATAAACTTAAGCCCCCCTTGTGTATTCAAAAACAGTTTGTTATTACTCTTAACCTACCTTGGTAATCCTTATTTGATTGGATTACCAAACGTTGTGTTAATCATTCTTAAATGGTTCTTTTTGTCACTTAGTTTAATTTAACGTTTTTATATATATATCGTCTTGACAAGTAAATGTGTGATCAGATTGTTCGAAATGTATAACGCAAATACACATCACATCGTTTTTCAGATAATCTCCGTCTTCTAATAATGCTATCCAAATATATAAGAGGGACTAATTGTTTTAAATTTTTGAAAAGAAGACTCCCTCCATGCACTATCAAACGGTTAGATGGACGTCTTAACCTGAAGTGTAAAGTAGCATCTGAAAAGGTAAAATTGGATTTTTATTATAAATCTTGCCTTTTTACAAGTGACACATTCCCGAAAGTATTTTACAAATCCCTTCCATCTTTCAAGTATTATTCGCCTTACGAAATCTCACATTGACGATTCTAATGGGAATTTATGTGGACTAATTGAACTCGATTTATTGTCATGAAATATTGATTGTCTGATGTCTCCATTATTTGTCAAAGTAAGTTCATTAATTTTTGTAGCTCTGTCGTTGATAAGACGAATACTAGAGAATACTAGATTGAAATTGCTTGGATCTTGCACGTCTGACTTCCAATTAAACCAGATCCCATTAAATCCTGATAAGTATGTGACAAATCTGTCATCGGTTGAACTTTTATTACATGAAAAAGAGGTGCTGTCAATTGGTTTCAATTTCTCTATCCCATTAAACAATATTTCAGACTTAACAATTGATTCTCAGTTTGAAAATTTGTATGATCAGTTGAGTTCTCTAACAACTTCTTCGACAGATGACCGAAGTTGGTCGAAAGTTAAATGTGTAGATGTAGCACACCAATTCCGTAATTCAAGTCGGAAACAAAGAAGCATTTTAACATCAACTCATTTTAAATCCCTAAAGGAATTACGTAATAGATCCGATTTAGTTATTTTGACACCTGACAATGGATCTGGTGTAGTTGTAATGGACAGAAGCGATTACAAAACAAAAATGTTCTCAATCCTTAATGACAAAAGCAAATTCATAGCCGATGTTCCTTCTGATGATATCAGAGAATTGGTAGGAAAAGTAACTTCTCGCTTAGTAGAACTTCGTGGAATGGTCGTTATCGATAAACAGGAGTTTAATTCCTTGAAGCCCATGGTATCTGACTACCCAAACCTCTGTGGTTTACCCAAGATTCATAAGGTTGATAATCCGTTACGTCCAATTCTATTAATGTGTCACTCTCCTACACATAAATTAGCAAAATGGTTAGCTGATATTTTAAGTCCAGTACGCAATGAATTATGTAAGTCTACTTTGAAAGATACATTTTAACTTGTTGACTGTCTTGTAGATATGAACATGAAAGATGGGGAAATGTATTCACTTGATGTTAATTCTTTGTTTACTAATGTACCATTGGTTAAGACTGTTGATATTCTTTGTGACTATATATCTTCTAGTTGTTTTTCATTTCCCTTTCCTTTGCCTTATTTGAAAGACTTATTACTATTATGTACTGACAACGTCCATTTCACGTTTAAAGGTGAACATTTTCGACAAGTGGATGGCATTGTTATGGGAAGTCGATTAGGACCTTTGTTAGCGGACGTTTGCATGTCTTATGTTGAAAACTTGTCCCTTGATTTAATTTCTAAAGTGCCCTCCTTCTATGGGACATATGTGGATGATATAATTTTGATATGCGACGATCATGAAGATGCGAGTCGTCTATTAGATAGACTTAACTTTGTACAGAATCATATTAGTTTTACATGCGAGGCAGAAAGTCGCGACCAGCTTGCATTTTTAGACATACTTCTGAGTCGAAGAGATGATGGTTCAATAAGACGATCAATCTACAGAAAGCCCACTTGGACAGGGCAATATCTAAATTTTCATAGTTTCTGTCCATTATAGTATAAAGGAGGCTTTGTGAAATGTCTATTTGAGAGGATTCAACGTATTTGCACTGCTGATGTTATAGACAAAGAAAACGAAGTATTAATTTGTCACCCTTGCTCCCTGTTTGGAATCCACTCGAGCAATGGCCTGGCGATGGCGCGATGTCATTCGACGGCCTCTTCATCGTATATCCTGTATAATTCATTTTTATTACATATACGTAACATATAATTGTACTATTTCATTCACTAAATGTCACTTTTCATCCGGGAGAGGAGGTTTAATTGTAGTTGATTCGAGGTTATTTGACGATGGTGTCAATTGATTTTTCTTTCTTTTTTTCTTTCTGACAGGAGAATCATAATCTCATTCAATCATGGATTCTATGCCTACTACCGTTATCTGAAGATTCCAACGAATTCAATGCTCACTTACAAAAACTTTTATCTATTTTGACTGATATTAAAACTTCCAATGTGTAGAATTCAGTTCTCTTCTATTCTCTTCTCTTCTATTCTATTCTTTTCTATTGTGTTCTGTTCCGTGTTTTGTCCCCCATAGTCCTGTACTTTATGCGTGCAAATAAAAGAGGGGGAAAAGAAAGTGTAATATATATACATATTACTTTTACTACAATGACAACAACAATGTTATATTTATTTCTGTACATTCATATTTTCTTTCAAATAAAAGCATTTATTTTATTTTCAAGTATTGGTTTTGTAGAGATGTAGTTTGATTGGGTGGAGAAATTCATCATGAGCTGACATCAGTTAGAGAACCACTGGAAAACCTGGGAGTACTGGACAGCTATTTCGTCCTAGTTTACGACTCTTCATCAGTACGCACCCACCGGCAGGGTTCGAACCCAGGACCTTCCGGTTACAAGACCAGCGGGCTCGTAGACCACTGAACCACTGGGACCCGATTATTATTTCTTCTGTGTGCGTGTGTTTGTGTGACTACTTCTCATTTTTTCTCATTCAATTACTACACCCAGTTGACTTTGCTGTTAAAATTAATTTTGTTTTTAGTATCTATGCTGCCAACGAAGTCATTGTCAACGTTGTTCGCCTCCTTCAACACTCCCGTAGTATCGGAAGTTCGTATTTTTAAATGTCACAATGATGATGATGATGATGGTGATGAGTATTCGATCATTTCTAAGTGGAATCAAATTGACATTCTACGTAAAGATACTATTACATACACACGAACACATTTAATAAGGGTACCACATAGTAATCATGAAAAATTGCAGGTGAAATATGCCTCACAATTACACTTCTCTTCATTTGGGAAAGGTTATCCTTCTAGTGTACAACAGAATAATGGACACACTGTTTGGGATATACAAACACCAGATGGTTGTCATAGAGCTGTATGTATCCAACCGGTTTCTTCTTCACCACCACGACAAGTAACGTCAAATTCATCAAAGTTTATCACAGCTGATTGTGAAGAAGCAAGTACTGTTGTACAAATATGGATTAATGGACGTCTTTCAAACATTGTAAAACTTCCAACAACTCCTCCTAATGCTCTTCATGGTCGTGTATATCCTACAGAGGGTGGATCATTTCATGGGGCTGCTTGGTCAAAGGCAAGAGATAAAATTGTCTATCTTGCAGAAGAGGTGGCGCCTGGTGATTCTTCAGAGGTAATTTTGTTTCTTTTTTGTTTGCATCTTTTTTGTTGTTGAATCTTTTGCATATTGCGGTGTGGCGGAAATGTCACTTTTTATCACAACGAATAAAACGGGAAGTGGATGTTCCACTGAAAGTCATTAAATCTTATATCTGCCATCTGATATCCTAAAAGTGACCAGTAGCGTTCACCCCGGTCGGAAGTGATGACGAATGCTCGCCAGAGACGACACTGTCTTGGGTGCCAGTCGCGCTAAATATCTCACAAATTGGTGGTAGAAGTTCGGATTTATGAACTGCCCGTTGCATCGTATCCCAGTGGGGCTGAATGTTCTACTAGCTTGCTTGTAACTTGAAGGTTCGATCCTTAGTTGGTGTGTACTACCAATGAGTCACAAGCTAGTCTGACGAAATAGCTAGCTGTCCAGTACTCCCTGTGGCTGGTTTTCTTTGGTTCTCTAAATGATCATAATCAGCGGTCAAACTGAAGACAAAACAAATCCCCTTACAAAGAAACTCTTGAAAAGTGATATGCCAATGTAGGATGTTGCTTTTGTTTCTGTGTTCCTGGTTGTAACGTACTTGTATGTTAGATTTATTTGCTAATTTTATAAATACTTAATTAGACGCAATTTGTCTGAATCGTGTAATGTATTCTCGCAACACATTTCGAACAATCTGATCACACACACGGACTTGTCATAGGAATATATAGGAAATTAATAAGGAGTTATGAGGTGAGAAAATAGAAAAGTTACGTCAAGTTAAAAGGACATATTGAAGGTCGAAATAAAAATGATGACCACTAAACGACATAGCATATTCCTAAATGGCTCCAGAAACAAACGGAATCTTCAGAACCCATTAATGGTGAGAACAAGAGACCTAGCTCCTCTATTGCGAAACATTTCATAGACTCAGGACATGAAATTGACGTTAACAGATTATTTAAACCTATCTGTAAAACGTGTTTGTGGCGTATCCTATAGTCTGTGGTAGCTCTAGCTGGCAATTAGAAAGTTTAAACCACCTTTATGCTCCTCAAAGACAATTCGTCATCACACTAAACCTTCCTTGGTAAATTGTGTTTTGATATCAGCCAGGGTAGATGTACTATTACCTTTGCTATTTGGTTTAGTGGATTTCATTGTCATTTTGACCTTCACTATGTCCTTCTAACTTGACGTAACTTGTCTATTTTCTCACCTCTTGACTCTTTATTAATTCCACGTATATTCCTATGACAAGTCCGTGTGTGATCAGATTGTTGGAAATGTGTTGAGCAAATGCATTACACGATTCAGACAAATTACGTCTTCTTAAGTATTTTATTATAAATCTGTCTGTATGGTGTTTAAAGCTGGCTTGGTTGGCTACAAGTGACACCACTTGTAGCATCAAAGGCCCTTAAGTAATTGGAACTAGTCTGTTATGATGGGGCTGAGTGTGACAAAGAGTATACAAATGTATATATCTATAATAGCTATTGCCTCAGCGTTTCAAACTAGTATTCTCTTTCGTTTGATTAACCGCGGAGCTCCAAAATTAATGAATTCAGACAAAGGTGAGAAGCTGACGAAAGTGAAAACACCAAGGATAGCAAAAGTGAAACAAAGAGATGAATGTATAAAAATAAAATTAAACGAAAATGTGTCGATAGAAATATCATTATTGTTCGAGAGCATTAGAATGAGTGTGCGATTAGATTTACTCGTAGTCTGCTGTTCCATTTCATTGTTAGTGTATGAGGGCTGAGATACTACTACCCGTGCGTCCAGAATGAAGCAGGTGACTGTCTCAAGGGACTACCTCCTCCGTGCCTTTGATCTGGAGTCTCATCTGCAAGGCAGCGGAACAGCATCAGAAGCTACGCTTCCCTGGTTACTAATGCAGGTTCCTGCGGCATTCGATCCGACTGGATACTAGAACCCATGTACCCCACGTTAACTGCTTTTAGTTTAACCGCTATTCAAACAACCTTCGTGGCATGGTAGGACCAGTGTAGCTTATTGGGTCACTGTGGTATGCAAGCCCAAACACCGCGTCAAGGTAGAAGTTATTGGCCGGGTTGATCGATGTAGCTTCACGATGTGATCAAATGAATTGACTTACCTACCTAACACTCTATACCTAATCTGAAAGTTACTCACTATGTTAAATCGTTTAACATGGTAGATATGACGCAAATATCTGTGGTCAAATACAGCTAGTCTTTTCATATCTTCCACTATCAATGCCAGTGTCTCATATCAACAAAGAGGGACTGAGAGAATTATTACACAGTACACACATCCTTTAAGCAATAGCAGGATGTCACGTCTACTCCGAAGTAGACGTAAGTTGACAAGGGTCAGACTAGCCTTTTGCATTTTTATATCTTACCAAATTGTTTTTGTAATCCGCACTACTTAAAAGTATTATAATATATTTGAATCAATCATTGGTTGGAGGCAATGGGCAGGAATCCGTGCCCGACCTTATATTCGTGCTAGTTGGCACTTACTAGTCATCCAGGTGTATCTGCAATTTTGGAGGATCTGATGTCCCTTCTGAGATTCGAACCCGCGTCACCCAGTGAGTGCTGCAGTCAGAGACGTTACCAGTGATCTATTCAGGCTTACGACTGACATCCTGTAGGAGTGTATTGGTTTCTTTGATTGGACACTAGTTAGTGAGTAGTTGTGAGTGTCTAGTCCTTTGCTTGATGTTCACCAGTTCAACTTGCCACCCTCCCTGCATGTATCCCACAAAGCAAGAGAAGAAAGTTAAGAGAGATACCAAAAAGAGAGATAATAAACAGAAGTGTGAGTGAGAGGAAGAGAATAGTCATATAGAAGAACGATAGAGGACTTTTATTGGTTATTAATAATTGTGGAAAGTGAATGCATCTGCGCCAGCTATTGACAACGATGATTTTGAGCCGACCATATCACTGATTGTCTCTAGCCTTCGTTGGTTCTTACCATCCCGAGGTCAGTCAGGCAATCTACACCTATCTACGTGACTGGCAGGCTGGCTTGAACTAACTGTTATGCATTTCATTGACTGATGAAGCCATGTTTTCGTTTGACCATCACTAGTTTTCTCTTTTCCAAACTGATCCATCCTATGTCAGTCAGCCAACAGTGCCTGTTGTCGAGGAAGGCGATCGATGGCTAGGGATGTATGCAGGACATATGCCCTAACCATCTCAATCAATGAAGCTGCTTCACAACCTCATCGATTGACTTTCCCTCCTTACCTAGCAGTCGACCAAATGCCTAACCTCAGTGCTACTCATCCCGTTATTCCACCTAACATGGGCGATAGAACGCAGACAACTGTGATCGAAGGCAGCTAGCGAGGCTTTTCATGTCTTCCAAATATAGTGACCATGTCTCACAGCTAGCGATGAAGGAGGAAGGGGAGAAGTGGTGAGCAGTACACACATTCTCAAATCGATAGCTAGCCGGATATCACGTCTACTAAGCCAGAGATGGTGTAAGATGGCATATGTCAGAAGAATTCTATCAGCCAAGTTTGCAATGTGTCCACTATTTGAGGTGGCCCGAAAATCCTGAATAGCTCAGCGGCAACGTGTCTGACTGCAACACTCACTGGGTAATGCGGATTTGAATATCAGAAGGGACATGAGTTCCTTTAGAGCTTCAGATACTCCTTGCTAACAAGTGAGAGCCAACAAGCACGAGACCTAGGTCAGGCACGTTTTTCTGCTGCTTGACTCCAACCATCTAACATCAAGAATTCACAGTACATGTTGATGGCTGAGCCACCTAGTGGCATGGTGACCACATTGCAAACTTGACTGCCGTAGAATTCCATCTACACCAAAATACAAAGGACTAGACGCATGATGTTACTAGTTACTATCTAGTATCCATCCAATGTGTTTAATATATTCATATATGTATGATTCGTTTTTGTTTCCTAACATATATATGTATGTATTTTACTTGATTAAGTCTTGTGGAGGTGATTCATCCTTTGCATTTCAAGAGGATTGGGGAGAAGGCAATGAAGGCGTGCATAAACCAATAATTTGTGTACTCGATATCACCACTAAAACTGTTACACTGGCCCCATTGAAAGAAAATAATCTTAA